TTCCACCCCATTTCTCCAAGGTAAAACAAATTGGATTCCCTTTCGTGTGAACATTTGAGAACTGCTGCAAAACATCCAGGTGTAATTACACCTCATCCCAACAAAGCGTCCTGGAGCCTGATCTTACACCTGCACTGAGCTCCCACGCCCAAAACACCTTCCAAGAATGAGTTAATTTTTGCTTTTTCCTGAACTTTCTTTAACGATGCATTTTTGATGCACCTAGGAGAGTTATGGCTTTCTACCCAAAAGTCTCCACAAAGGACTTATGACCCTTTAAAGATCCTCAGCCTGTGGTTGTCCTCTCTACACAGCAAGGGCAGGAATAATGTCACCTCCTGGATTTTAGGAGGGAAATCCACGTCCTTGCCAAGCAAATAAATGCAAGATTTTCTAATTAACTTTTATTCAAACTGAGTCTCAGAACTTTACCCAAGAAAAGACGGCTCTTTTGCACAAGCCACCCAGTGATGCTAAGAGTATTAGTCATGAAAGCAGGAATTGGGAGTAAAAATAGCAAGGATTCTGCACATACTTTTTTTAAGCCTCACACCTACTCAGAACTGATCCCTGGGTCAGCTGTCAAGAGCTGCTTGGTTTTAGGTTTTTTTTTTATTTTTTTTTTCCTTCTTTTTATTACTATTTTATTTTAGATCAACACTTCTGATTCATAGAAATGGGAGTAACTGTGAACACATTTTCCAAATCAGCCTTCACAAGAATGCTTTGTTGAGGTCTTACAAAAGGCCAATCTCAAAATAAACTTTTTCAGGAGTTTTTTAAATGTCAGTTGAGAAGTCTTTGCTCTAATTTCTGTATTTCCTTATTTTGCAACTCAAACATTTTTAACCGCTGCAGGAGTCATACCCAAGACACAGAAAATAAAGGAAAGAGAAACCTTTTGGCAAGAAAAACTCCCATATGATGGATTTGACAGGTTTCATCGGGGTCTGCCATGCAAAGATCAACAGTTTCAAATTATGAGTTTTAAGTATGGACAAGGTACCATCAGCTACTCCAATCCCAAAAAAACCCCCTGCTCCTAGGGGCCAGATGTTATGATGACAGAACAAACTCATATTTGCAGGTGGCATCACTATTATCAACAGCATTTCATTTTCAGCACTGAGGACCCTGCACCAGCTGACAGACTCTGCATCAATATTCATAGTAATAAAATACTTCTGACACCTTCAGGTCATCTAAAGCATGGACCCTGTGGTCACCACATTATCGTTTTGGTGAATTCTCATGAACACACCTCAGGCAAAACTTGAAGCAGAGGAGCCAATCTGTCAAAAGTTCTGGAGTTTTTCACAACTCCTTTATTTTATCACTTGGACACAGTCAGGGACAAGCCACCTCCTTCAACCATCACCATCCTTGTAAACCTCCCCAGATGCTCTCCATGCCTCTGCTTACCCCACACCAGCATGAATTTAACCAGTGAAATGCCCTTTGAAGACTCACAGAAACACAGAATGGTTTGAGCTGGAAGGGACCTTAAAGATCACCCAGGTCCAACCCCCTGCCATGGGCAGGGACACCTTCCACTCTCCCAGGTGGCTCAGAGCCCTGTCCAACCCAGCCTTGAACACTTCCAGGGATCCAGGGGCAGCCACAGCTTCTCTGGGCACCCTGTGCCAGGGCCTGCCCACCTTCCCAGCCAAGAATTTCTCCCCAATATCTGCTGGACAAACAAGGTGGCACCTTCTCTACCACGTCCTGTCCTTCAGCAAGGTTAACATTACATCCCCCCACTCATCTCAGAGCAGCAGCCCATGGCTCTGAAAGGCCAGAAACAGTGACACAAAATGCACCAGCTCAGCACAGCACGAACCAGGAGTGGGGGAAAAGCATCCCCAGTTTAAAATGTTGGCAGTTGTGTTGTTTACCTTATTTCAAGTAACACTTCCGTAAAGTTTTAATGAATGCTTCATTAAAACATCAACTGCCTGTCCAGCCAGTCAATTATCACTCATAATCACAGCTATATAACAGTATACTGTCTTCTGCAGATGTTCTTACATCTGTGCAAAATACACTCTCCACCTCTGCCACATGTAACATCTGTTGAATATTTGCAAACGTTTTCTCAATATAGAACTGAAATTATACTGTCTTACTTATAATGTATTTACTGTCCCACTATCCTGTGCACCCCTTAAAATCACTAAAAAGGTATTTCCTTGCTGTGTAGGTACCAATCTCTCAATTGCTCTTTGCTGCATTTATTTAAATGGCTTTTAGATTTTCACTTAGTAACAGATTACACCGAGCCTCCATCTTATCGCAGGAGCTATTAGGACCTAATCCTCCTTTATAAGCACTGAAGTTATTAGACTTGTGAGGATATTTTCTTCCCTTTCATAAATAATCTGTTGGAGAGAGAGGGACAAAAAAAAAAAAAAAAAAAAGGAGGGAAAAAGCCACTTGCATCCCTGCTCACCCAGGCAACAGTCCCAACCCCAGAGAAAGAACATGCCTCACCTGCTCTTACTTCGACAGCAACAAATGAAATCAAATCTGCTTTCACCTAAAAGCTTCTAGAGAGGGAAAATAAATTGCGCTAAATAAATTGCCAGCACCCTTCTCTGTGTAAGAAGAAAAAACTCCTTGGGGAAGGTTTGCGCCAGGTTCAGAGGGATCTTCACAGACCTTTCCAAATCTCTTCCATCTCCACGTCCCCATCATACAGGGGCACAAACTGATTGTAGAAGCTGTCCTGTCCAAGGGACAACAAAGTTTGGGATGGGGAGATGTATGGGGGGCGAAGAGGGAAGATACCTTCCCCTTCTGGAAGCAATGGCTCCATCTCTTCCCACCCCAAAGAAAACCCCACTGAAGCTCTTGGATTTTGCCACCCAAATCCCACCACAGCTTGGTAACTGCCTTCCAAGCCTCTCTGTTTATAATTAATGCCATTTTCTGCTATTTTGATAAGAAATCACTATTTCACCCCCATCTTCTCCTCTGCCACCCTCTCCACCACCATACCCTGCGATGTGAGTTTGCTGGATCCCTGAGCCAGCTCGGTCCTGGAGAAAGGAGGGGGAAATGGGTGGCTTGATGGATCAGAGCCCTTTTGGAACGGGAAATCTCACCCTGCACGACAAGGTGTGCAAACAGCATCGCCAACCAGCCCTGCTGAACAAAACCACAGCGAGGTGCTGAGCAGCATTTCCAAGAGGCACAGGAAAATGAGCAGCAGAGCAGCCCTTCAGCCACTCCTGGATTCTCCCTGGCTCCTCCATCCACACCCAGGCACTGACAGCCCGCGATGCTGGAGCATCCCATCACCTCCCACGCTTGAGAACACAGATGCTCCAAAGTTAACAATTTACAACCACGGTGGAACAGCAGCAGCACCCAAGTGCTCCCTGCACCGTATCGGGGAAGTTTTCCCTGCCTCTGAGGCAGCCTCCCTCCTCCACTCCCCTGGAAAACACATTTGGAAAAAAAAAAAATGTATTGCAAGCAACTCGCGGAGAACTGTAGGGATCTGAAGGGACGGAGAACTCTCTGCAAACTCCTTCTCTCTCTTTTCTAAAGCTGCGATTCGCCTCCGTCCCCGTGGCGTTCCCAGGGTCTCTCTGCAGGAGAGATGCAGCTCGCACTGCCCGAGTCGCCTGTCTGCCGCCCGAATTTCCGCGTGGAGCAATTCCAGAGTGGTTTTTTGCTAAACAAAAACATGCAAAGAGCGAAAAAAACCCACCCCAGACATCCCCAGCTGACTGCGCCCAGGAAGGTTTGACAGCTCCAACAGGACATCTCATCCCACGACATGTCTACAGCTAATGCAAAACAAATCAGCGCTCCGTCTCCCGACGCATTATTTTATTTTTTTTTTCCCCCCTCTCATGGCACGCCTGCGATTTTGTCATTCAAAGGCAAATCGGCCGCGGTTCCAACTCCACACATCCCTTTTCCCAGCACAAACAAATGCCCCGGTACTTTTCCCACCGCCGGGTGCTGCGGGGGGAGGACCCCGAACTGGGGATCCCATCCTCATCCCTCCGCACCGAATTCACCAGCGCACCTCTCCGAGCAACAAAAGAGTTGGAGCAAACGCGTGGCACCTCGCCTTCCCTCTTTTTCCCCCTCTCCAAATGTTTATTCGCAGTTTTTGAAGACACCTTAACCCGCCATGTTGAACAAGCTTTATAAATATTCATTTACCGCAGTTCGGGAGCGCTACGGGAAGATATGTCTAGATCAGGGCTGCACATTTTGGCACAGCTGATTGCTTTCTTCTCTTCTCTTTTTTTTTTTTTTTCCCCTTCCCTCTCGCCTCCTGCAGCAGCTTTTTTTCCCCCCCCCCCTTTTCCCCCGCAGATTTCAGAAGAAACCCACCCGCACACCCAAAATAACTCTTTCCGAGAGATGTGCATCAACCGTGCAAATCTGAAAAGAGGTCGCACGAGCGTTTGGCAGGAAAGCAGAAAAACGATAGGTATAACTTTAAAAATAATTTAAAAACAAGGAGAAAAAAGGTGGGGAAAGGGAATAATAGAAAAAAAAAGAAAGAAAAAAGGGGGGGAAAAGCAAAAAAAAAAAAAAGGGGGGAAAGGGAGGGGAAGAAAGGAGGGGAGAAAAGGAGATGAGAGCATCTAAAACGCGGTCTGTCGAGGTAAAAAGCAAGCCCCGCACGGCTGCGCTGCACCCGAGCGGCAGCGCGGAGCCTCCCGGCCCGCGGGGCGCAGCCGGGCAGCGGCAGCCGCGCTGCGAGCGCCGGTCCCGGCCGGGGCTCAGCCCCGGCACGCCAACACTTCCAGCAACTCCACCGCGGGATCACCCTCGGAAAACGGCGGGGGGGAATATCCACACCCATCTCACACGCTTAAAAAATATATATGTATTTAAAAAGAATTTTTAATACATCTTGGAAAGGGGAAAAGAGACTCTCTCCACCCAAGCGCTGCCAAACCCGATAAATAAAATAAAGGGAAATGCCAGCCGGGAGGGCTTGAGAGGGGTGGCTGCCGGGCGCGGTGCCTTACCTGTGCGAGTTTGGCTTATTTTGGGGTGTTTTCCCCGTTTTTTCCCCCGCGGAGCGGTGCGCGGTGCTGCGCGGAGCGGAGCCCAGCCGTGCCTGCGCCCGCACCCGCGGCAGACTCATTCCAATATGGCATCCGCGCAGTGCGCATGCCTGCCGCTCTTTTTAGGGCTTTTTTTTCCTCTTTCTTTCTTGCCTTTTTTTTTTCCCTTTTCCCTTTTAATATTTAGCAGCCAACTCCTTCGCTGACCTTTTTTCAGCAGTTTCAAGAAAAGGGGTTTAAAAAAAAAATAAAATAATAATCCGTCAAAATAATCACGCGCGCATCCCGAGCCACACCGCCCCGGCTGCTCCGCGCCCGCGGTGCCTCCGCGCTTTGAGCCGGGGATTTGGGCTCCGCGGGCGAGGGCAGGGATGGAATCCACGCGTGGAAGCGATGCCGCGGTTCGGCCGCGCTCCGCGGCGCGGGGCAGCGCGCAGCGGCATCCCGGGCTGGCCGCCCGCGCCTTAAATGCCACAAAACACCATCAAATACCACCAAATACCATCAAATACCAGCCTTCAACACCGGAGCGCTGCCGCCCGGCTTGCCCTCCCCACAACCTTTTATTTCGCTTTTCCTCCTCGTTTCGTGTCGCCAAGAAACTTCCAGGGAGGGAGGTGGGGGTAGAAGATGGGGGAAAGAGGGGAAGCAAAAAATGCGGCGCATCCCTCAGCCCGCCCCTTCCCTCCGCTTCGCAGGGCTCCGGCATTACCTGTTTATTCCCTGTTGCAGAAAATAAATAAAATATATCACGAAAAGCCGGCGAAGGCACAAGGCGGGATGTAAAATCAACTGGTGGGCACCCTCCGCCCTCCCGGCGCGCAGGGACACGCACAACTTTCCCTCCTTTGCTCCTCAGGTTATCGGATGGGATTTTTTTTTTCTTTGGGGTTATTTGATGGTTTTTCCTTCCTTTGGCGAGTGCGGGGGATTCACGGCGGAGTCGCGCTGCTCGCCGGTGTGCGGGGCTGTGCTGCTGCGGGGGTGTTCGCACGCACGGCCACACTGCGGGATTTTTCAGATTGCACAGATACTCTGTTCTCCCCTCCCGAGAAAATCAGCCCCCGCTGCAGGACTGGAAAATCATGCCACGCTCCACTGCCCGTGCCCCCCGCCCGGCTGGTCCTGCTCTCGGGAAAGGGGTCAGAAAAATCCCCTTGGGTGGGAGGGATGGGGATAAAGCCCCGCTTCTGCAGCCGGGGTTTCTCGGGATGCTCTGACCGCCCGCAGATCCCAGAGCTTCCCCTACCCCGGTCTGCTCAGCGGCGGGGCTGGGGATGAATTTTACAGGGGTTTTGCCGCCCCCCCTTGCAGCCCTGCTCAGGGAGTGTGTAAAGCATCTTTGATGGGGATTTTTGGAGCCCCAGCTCCCATCTCCCTTCAGGCACAATTGGTACGATTAAGGATTCAGTAGATGTTTTTGGAGCATCCTCCGAGGTGGGGGTTGGTGCAGGGCACACACATTCAACAGGTCTGGAGGGGCGCAGTGGGAAGGAACATCCTGGTTTTGAGGCAGCAACCAGTCCTGGACATTGTCCTTTCCACAAATTCCTTTTGGAATTAACCCCAAATGCTGCTGCGTCCATCGGGCTGCCAAATTTACATCACCCCTCCTACTCAGATGCAAGTGCTATCTCCACTTGCCTTTCTCTGGTCATTTCCAAGCTGAGATTTGAAGTTTCCAGGTTGATTTTGTGAGCCTCCCTTCTTGCAGGAGCAGGGAGGGTGATCTCACACTGGGGAAGCACTGGTTTCCCACAGGTGACCCCAGCTTTTCTCTGCCCTATTGCAAGCACCAGCACCCTTTTTCACTGGTTCTTGCTGGGGATTCATCACTGAACCTCCAAAATTGCTTTCTCTTCCACTCTCTCCAATCCCTTTATCTTCCACTCTCCCAAATCCCTTTCTCTTCCACTCTCTCCAATCCCTTTCTCTTCCACTCTCCCAAATCCCTTTCTCTTCCACTCTCTCCAATCCCTTTCTCTTCCACTCTCCCAAATCCCTTTCCCTTCAACTCTCTCCAATCCCTTTCTCTTCCACCAGCCTCTCATGGATTTTGTGCAAGAAGACAAGTGAGGGGTGGAATAAATATGAAGAAATATTTTGATTCTGGAATACATTTGAGAAGATAGTGAAGACTGGGAAAAAAGAACAAATACTGCAGACAGTGTTTCTTCAGCACTATCCATGTTCTTGCCATTCACACGCCAAGAGGCCACGGGCACGGGCTCAGCCTCTCCTGTTCCAGCAGATTTCCTGGAAAACAAATCAAGCAGCTCCTACTTTCAGGCTTTGGGCTGGATGGGATTTCAAAACAGCAAGGAAACACAGTCAGAACTTCAGAGTAAGACCAAAATCCCAACTAGATGCCAGGAGAGCACTGAAGTCCTGTTTATCCAGATGAGTGTGAAGTGGGTGACATTTTCAGCACAGTGACATTTCAAATTTTCAACATACTTTTGAAAGGAAGATGCTCTGCAAACACCACATCTGTGTTCTCTCTCCTTTTAGTCTGCTCTGAATTAGGTTACACTGAAATTCCTCTGAAATTCCTCAGCCTCTCCTCATCTAAAGCTGGAGGCATCATCCAGTTTAGGGACAGACAGCCCCAGTGACTCTCACAGCCCTTCAGGTGTTTCTCCATCTCCTTTCCTTTAACACCAGATGCCTTTGTGCTTTATTTCCATTCAGGCCCAAGGGGTTTTCCCAGAGGTTTTGGTTCCACTGTCTTCTCTGGAGCTTCTTCTTCCCTCTTCACCTTGATTATTTTCTTTTAGTTTCATTTAGAGACTGTTTCTGAAGCACTGATGGTTCAATTGGCCCTCTGTGGAGAGATGTGGAAGAAAGCCTTCTAAGAGTTTGTGATCTAAATTAGGTCTGTGTATGGGGTCCAAAGAGGTGGTTAGGAAAAAAAAAATAGAAAATAATAGTAATTAAAGCTGAGGAACAAAATTCTCTTGGAAATTTTCTAAGAAGCTGCTACAACAAAGCTCTCAGATATGAATGAAAAGGTGCAGATTTATATCAGGTCTGAGCTGCAGATGACTCTAACAGCTCCTATTGGCAGCAAAGACCAATGAGTATCTTGCTTGTTGATGAGAATACAAATTGGTTTAGTGGACATGAACTGCAGTAATTGCTGAGAGATTTCATTTTAATACTAGCTTTGAGAGCATCATTGTGAAAAAATGAAAGTGCTTTGAGAAATACTGAATTGTGCCAGTGTAGTATCCCAGGATGTAAAGTGGATTTAAGCCCTGGCAGAAACCCCCACTGAGATCAGCTGCAGTTTCAGACTCAGTGACACTCAGGGATGAACCTTCCACTGAGCTAAAGCAACTCCATTAATTTCACTGCTGTCCATGCTCCTTAGTGCTGCATTTGTTGGCAACCGTGACACCTGATCTTGTATTTCAACTTGGGAACAGAAGTTTCACATCTAAATTTTGTTGCTTTTAACTGAAGCACTTTTATGCAATTAACACTGATAAAAAAGATTTACCTGAATACCAAGTACCCAAGTTGTAATGAACATCCATCTGCTGTTGCCTTTGATGATCACTCCCAAAGGATATAACTGCTCACATTCCAAACTTTCCTAGCTGGACACACAAAAACTGTCCAACCCAGTGAAATTCAGACAGTCCTATTACTTTAGATAAGATATTAGCAGTTCCTGATCTGCAGGATAAGATTACTTAGACACAAAATTTTCCCCATTTTCCAGGCTGTTGCCTTCAGCAGGTTCATGTTTTTGGAGGATAGATGGAGATGTAAAAAGACCCCCTACACAAGGAGGCACAAGAACACACACAAACAGTGATGTTATGGCATTAACAGTCCTAATTTTTCTCTTTTCCCCTGACTTGGGAAGATAAATGCTCTGATGGACACTATGGGATTTGTAGGTGGTTGTGTACTTGGTTATCCATTTCTGGCCCAAATTTAAGCAGATGCCTGAAGGACCCAGAGCATCCCACAAGCTGAACATGGTGCTGAGATGACATTTGTGTTTGTGAGTAAATGGGGGGATCTGAGACAACTTTTCTGCAGGTAAAATGGCAAAGCTGAGGCTTTGGATCTTCATCTGTGATAAACACTATGAGACTGGGCAGAAGTTCCTTGATGGCAGCCAGGTTTCCTTTTATCCCAAAGAATGTGGTTATCTCCGCTTTTGGAGGTATTTCCTTGCTTTTGGGATGCTGATTCCTGCATTGGAAAAGGGGCAGAGCTGTGCAGCTGGCACTGGGGAATTATTTGGGGCTGGTTAAGTGTTCAGCCTGAGTGAGCTGAAGGGTGGAGAGTGTCTAACAGGAGCTTGGTGTCAGAGAGGAGACACAGGACATCACCTGGGCCACCTCCACAGGCAAGTGCAGTTCCTATGAGTTCCTCTGCCATACTCATCTCCTGGGACTGCTCCTGGGCTCACAGCAAAGCTTCTCTCTGCATTTTCTCTCTCCTCTCAACAAACTGTGGCCTTCAGCTTCCAAGTTTTCACCCCACTTATCACAATCTTTGCAGGAGGTAAAGACACCATCAGGCCTTTATTTCATAACAGCTCCTGGGCCAGGGCTTTCACTTCTACCTTTGTCTTCTTTTTATCCATCAGCCCTAATTCAGAAAGGAGTTGGTCCTGGGAGGTGGCATTAGGATGCTGAAAGACTTGTTTCACAGTGCCATCTCCTGGAGATCATATTTAGGCTGAATTTCTCTGATACCTTTTTCTTTTCGATGTATCTGAGCTTTGAAGGCAGGTGTTTAAGGCATGATCTAAAGAAAAGATTAGCATAAGTGAAGTTAATCCAAAATTTAAACTCCCTCTTTATGCTTCACAGTAAAAGTCCTGCCTCTTGAATGCTGTGAACAGCAAAGGAATTGCTGGCTTGGGATTCATAAAATATTAATTGGGTCATGGTCTCACAGGCTTTGCACCTCTTGGCAGCACCAGCCCTGTGTGCAGTGATTGCAGGGGCAAAACACCCCCTGGAGAGGTAAAAGCTGCCTTGGTGTAGCCCTTCCTGTGCAGGAACTCAAGGAATACCAGGGAAAAGGGA